GGGGGGCGTGTGGAACACACAGACAGGCCCCTGATCCCACGTAATACTCGCTCTATCTGGGGGGACATACGATGAACCAGGGGGCACACCCCACGGGAAAGCTTAGAGGCAGATAAAGGTGGGGAAGAGGGTAAGCCTGGGGTACGTGACGGACCAGGCTGAGCTGAGAGCTGGCCAGCAGGTGGGAACCGGCCATGTGCGTGACACTGCCGGGTCGGGGACAGCAGGTGCAAAGGCCCGGCCTGTGGTGGGGACACATCCGGTGGGTCCAAGGAAGGTGCCCACAGCAGAGGGTGCAAAGGGGAGAGTGAGGCGCGAAGTCGGGGTGACTTGGAGCACAAGAGAGGCAGCGCGCTTACTCTGGCCGCTAAGGAGGGGACCTGCCTCTCCGGCTCTGCCAGCTGCTGTGTGGAAGTGACCAGAAGAGCAGGCGGAGAGGAAGCGAGAGCAGTTCGGAGGGACCAAAGGCTGGTTTAGACCAGTGATGGCAGAGCGGACCCAACAGCTGCCTACCTGACTCCCTCCCGTTCTAAAGCCTCTCTCTCGGAAGGGACTCATCTCAGCCATCCAGTGTCTTTCCACACTCACGGACGGACACAGTGACACAGCTCTGCGGGTCCTGGGCCGTATGACCCAGGGCAAGAGCCTGTCTCCCAGCCTGGTTTCATCCCCTCCCTGAGGGGGCCTCTCTCTGTTTGGACGTGCTAGTCCTGAGCCCTCTGGTTTGGCAGGACAGCTGAGGGTGTCGCTCTGGCAGCCTCCCAGAGGGCTCGCAGCCTGCGGGCAGCCATCCTGCTCTGATGCACCGTGGGGGCGCTGGGTTGGCAACTGTGCTCTCTGCATGGCACTGGCTGTCGCTTCCTCTGAGACCTTGGACACGACTGGACCTTCCTGAGCTGGGTTTCCCGGGCAGTGAGGACATTAGCAGTCCTCACCTCAGTGTTGGGAGGAGTGGGAACAGGGCACTGGCTGCGGGGAGCCCACCTTGCCACTCTCCTGGCCAGCGCACATGGGAGGCAGCACGGGCTCTGCCAGCCCGGCCCCGGCCCCACTGCCCATGAAGAATCGGGGCTTGTCTTACCTCCAGGGCTTCGTAGTACATATTTTTAGCCTCCATATCTGTCTTGGCCGACATCAACCAGGATTTGATCAAATATTCATAAAAACTGTCCCCGAGTCCTCCAACCGAGACGTGGTCTGTGGGGGAGGACGAGAACATTATCTCTATCTGCTGTCGCTGCCGGCGGGGCTGGGCCAGTGCTGAGCGGGGGCGGTGCTGAGAGGCGGGGAGCCTCTGACCGGGGCCCCTGGCCTGCGCGGGGCTGGGGGACACACGGCCTGCCTTGTGGCAGGGG